TGGCATTGTTGCATCCTGAAGATCCCCTGGCCAGGGTGGGGTAGGTCAGGAGGAGGCAAGGGACAATGTGAAGGCACTGGCTCCACCCCGGCCTCCACTTTCCAGCCTCAGCCAGACAAGAACCTGACATCAACCCCAAGGTTTTCAGGGCTCCGAGGGACTTTGTCCCTGTGACAGGGGAGGTTCCTAGCCAGAGCCAGAGAAGCTCTGCAGTCTTGGTGGACAGCAGCTGGCCAGGTCCAAGGCAGCAGAAACCCTGTATAGCCCTTCAGGGCCATGCAGAGTCAGGCTAAGGTTTGGTGGCAGTATGCTTGTCTGACACAGGTGCGGCCCAGGGCCTGATCACCACCACAGACTCCACACTCTGGTGTCTGTGCCCGGGTGTGGCTGCAGAGGGAGCTTGTGCAGAGTGCTGGGGTGAGTAGGACATCCGTGTCTCCCCAGTAACAGGGAAAAGGACCAGCATGAGTGGCCCCTTGTCCAGACCAGGAGGTGAGGCTCTGCCCATCCACTGCTGGGCTCCAGAACCCTCTCCAGTGGAGGCCTGGGAGTGGTGCCAGGAGGCTGAAGAGCTCAGTACTCCTGGCAGGCAGTGCTGTGCCTGATGGGGTTCTACATGGGGACTAGGATGGGAACCAGAGATCCTACAGGTCAGCACAGCCTGACAGACCAAAGCCTTGGAGCTACTGAATGCCCCCGAGTGTCCTTGGCAGGGGAGGTGCTGGCGGTGTAGCTCCTGGCTGAGCACAAGCTTCTAGTATATGAGGCCCAGGCTGGGTGTGGACGGTCATGCTGCGGTGGTGAAGAGGCTGCTGTAGGAAGGGGTGCCGGGTCACAGGAGCAGCAGGATGGGTTCCTCCTCAGGGTCTGGGGAGCTCGGCCTGCCACACTGGATCTAGATGCTGTGTGACCGACAGTGCCTACTGTTCCAAGCCACTCAATTTGCAGTACTTAGCGATATAGCCCGGGGAAAGCAACCCTGTGCCTGTCTGGCTAACTGTCCCCCAGTCCCCAGCCCAGGGCTTTTGTGTTCTATGCAGAGCCATGCACCATGTACTCTCTGAACGGAGGTGCTACTCACCCTCACTAGTGTAACGCCTGGTCTTTTCAGGTCCATGCTAACCTGGTGCAGATGAGGAATGCTTGGGACACCTGGGTTTGATCCCCAGCATGAGGTAAGGAGGAAGGAAAGTGCAGATCACAGATCTGGTCTCACAACCCACAGCTTAAGAGGTTGCCTCAGACCCCATGCTGCTCCAGGCCAGAGGTCTGGCCTGTTGACCTCTGTACCCGCAGCCCCAGGGTAATGCAGGGCCCAGGTGATGCTTATCTGTGCTTCCTGTTTGCCTGTGGGTCTACACCTCCCCAACAAGGAAAGGACGGAGTTGTCCCAGTCCTGAGTGGAGGAGCTGGAGCTGGCTCTGGTCCTGACAGGCTCCTGTCATTGCCAATCAAAAGCCAATCAAAAGATTTATGTTTAGGCAAAAATCACTTTCCAGGAAAGCAACAAAGCTCGCCCTCGTGGTGTCTGGGTCACTAGGCCCCTCAGAGCTGCCCACTTCATAACATCCCTGGACAGGCCACTGGGGAGCATTGTGCTCTGGGTGCCCATCTCTGTAATCTGCCATTTCCCCAGCACCTGGGTCCTTCCTCCTCCTCCCCTCTCCCTGTACCAGCTCTGCTAATCTCTGCCCTTCTCTACCTCCTCCTGGGACCTGCTGTCCCGTGTGCCTTGGGTGGGTGAGTGAGTCCTCTTTTTTTCTGGATCTTGAAGGCAGCATAGGAGTTTTACAGGCCACATAGGATGAGCATATTCCATTCAGGCAGGGGAACCAGGAGTGAAAGCATGAGGGAGGGAGCTCTCACCTTTTTGAGGATTTGGAGACCAAAAGGGGTTAATTCCGGTTTATGGGGCTAGGGGAGTCAGTGGAGAGGCTGAGGGTGAAGAAGGGATTTTTGCACTGGGCAAACACTGTCTCTAAGCTATACCCAAGGCAGAAGGAGCTTGCTTTGTTTTGTTTTGTCTGTTTTTTTGAGATAGGGTCTCAATACATACTTCAAGTTGGTCTTGAACTCACTATATAACCCTTGAACTCCTGCTGATCCTTCTGCCTCAGCCTTCTCAGTATTGAGGTGACAGGCATGTGCCACCATGCCTGACCTGGCTTTTTATTTTATTATTTTTTTTAAATCTTGGGCTATCTTCTACCTATAAGCAAGGGATTGAAAACATAGGATTTGTGATTTGGCAAAACTCACTTTGCCTGTAGCATGGAAAATAGATGAATTGTTCAGTTATGGCTGGTGGGCATGTCTTTGCACCAGCTGTGAGCTAAGGAGTTTTTAATTTTTTTCTAGCTTTTTTCTTTTTGAGATAAAGTCTCACTGTGTTGTCCAGGCTAGTCTCCGACTCAGTTTTCCTGCCTCAGCCTCCTAAATAGCTGGGATCATAGGCTCATGTCATTGTGTCTAGCTGGGTTTTGCATTTTTAAAAGGCTGGAAAACAAACTGAAGGAACAATATTTTGTGACACATGAAAATTATATGAAACAAAGTTGTGTTAGAACGCAGCCCTGCTGCCTAGCTCGTGAGCGTCACCCACGGCTGCTTCTGACGGTGTGAGACCAAGACTGCCTGGCACGAGCCTTGCCACATGAGACTTGATTTTGCCTCTTGGCCAGCACAGTCTGAAACACTCCTGTCTGGCCCTGAACAGAGGAGCCCGAGAACTCAGACTCACGGGAGTATCCTGTGGGCTGTGGCTGTGGGCTGAAGCTGCAAGTGTACTCAGGAGGCAGCTGCTGCGGGACAGGAGGAGCCAGGCTGACCCTGGGACTCCAGCGTGAGCAGTGCCCAACAGGCAGGAAATGAACAAGGTGAGGGACCAGCAGCAGGCCAGCACAGGGGCAACGGGAACTATTTGCGGGTCTGTCCTGTGGTCATCTTATTCCTGGAGTTCTGCAGTTTGTTCACAAAGATGCTAAAAAAAGATGATATTGGAAGCAACAGCCTCAAGCCCAGCAGGACCTAGGGTAGGCGTGGACACCAGGTGTCCAGAGGGCTCATCCTCTAAGGGCAAGCAGGGTGACCAGGAGAAGGGGAGGCATCCTGGTGGGGGCGCTGCTCATCCTGCCAACTTTAGGGTTCACAAGCTGGCAAGGGTCTGGGCTGATGCTGCAGAGACCTAATGGGACACAAGCGAGAGACCCTTCTGCTCCTTGGGCTCTCACTGAGGACTGGGCACAAGCCCTTTGTCCTGGGTCCTGCTGTTCCAGAAGCAGGACAGGGGTCCCTTGAAAGGCTATCCCCAAGGCTGCCAGAAGATGGAGCCAGAGTCACACTGGGCAGCAGTGGCAAAATGGGGGTGGGGGGTGGGGTGGTGTCGGGACCCAGGTTTGAATTTGTACCCCTTCTCCAGGCCACTGGTAAGGTGGGAATGGTGGGGAGGAGGTGGCACTCAGGGAGCCGGGGTCCTCTCCCTGCTCCCTGCTGAGGTATGCAGGAGGCCTCTAGGGCAGAGTAGGACCGCTCAGGGCAGGATGGGGTGACACCACCCAGCTACACTTTCCGCCTCTAGTGCAGGTCCTGTCCTTGCTCTGTGGTTGCTGGGTCTGCAGAGATCTGCCCCAAGACTGGCAGGAGGCCTTCCTGATGCTCATGCTGTCCCGCAGGCCTTGTTCCCCAAGTGGCCAGGGTGGGCAACACTGGGGGTGTGGGTCCGAGCCCAGACCACCTGATCACACAACCGCTGATGCCTTCCCATCACCTGTCCCATCCTCCTGTCTCTTCGGCAAGAAGGTTGTGGCCCTATCAGACATGGAGGGCAGGAGACACCCGAGGATGCGTGGAGCTCCCCACACAAGGTCCTCAGGATAAGCAGCATATGTAGGCAGCTGTCCCCATCCTGATTCCAGCACAGCCAGGGCCCCTCCTCCCAGGAAAGAGACTCTCCCACCCGATCAGGTGGCCCAGGGCTGACGTCCCTTTCCAGAAGGTGACTTAGAGAGACCCTATCTCAAAATAAAGAATACAAAATTTAAAAAGGGCTGGGAATGTAGCTCAGTGGAAAGGCCCTGGCTTACAGTATCACAAAAGCAACCAAAAGCATATGGCTGGTTTGGACTCTTTGTTTCCATTTTTGTATATCTAGGGTGATCCCATCCATCTGGCTGTCTATCCAAGCTTACCCGTGACTCTGAGGCTACTGGCCTGGGCCATGCCTTCAGGTGTTGCCATCTGTCCTAACCCTGTGCCTCTTCAGAAGGGCGTGGCCTGTCTCCCTCTGGAAGGGGACATCGGCCCTGGACCACCTGAATGGGTGGGAGAGAGTCTTTCCTGTGTGCCAAGGGGTACACAGGCAGGTGATACCCACAGTGCGACTGGAGTGGTGGCCTTGGACTCTGGGAGGCTGAGTAACCACGGTGAACCTGGCCCACCCAGGCACCAAGGTTGGCAGTGTCACTGTGTGGGGGGACAACTCCAGGTGGCCCTACCCCCTTACTGTGCTTTGTCCCATTGCCGCTTCACTCTGCTCTCTCCATGGAGACTGTTACAGGCTTGTGGTCCTGGGCCTCCTTGCAGCACATCCATGACCCTTAGGTGCCATCCCCCCACTAATCTCGGTTCTAAGATTAGTTTCTCCTGATCTTTGGCATGAGGTGTGAGGCTCCTCCCCCACGAGGTGCCTTTGTGCAGGCTGGAGGCTCACCTAAGCTTGCTACAGTATAAAGTGGGAGCCTGGGTGTGGCCTGTGGGTTAATCCCGGACCACTGCCCCCACCCCGTCTAGTTTCCCCACCTATAATTGGAACTTGGAGTGAACTCCCCTCCCCTCTGGTGACAAGGCCCCAGCCACCTTCTCTCTACAGCTCTCTTTGCCCCCCTTGCCTGGGCCAGGGCTGGGAGCTGCCCCTCCTGGAGCCAACATCGGCCACATCCCATGTCCCACTATCCTGGGCCTCCTACCTGTCCACCCTAGCCTCGGCCTGGGGGCAGTGCCAACACCAGAGGAAATGTCTTGACGCCTGCAGGTTGTGTGGCTTTATTCAGACTTGGCACTTGCCAAGGTGGAGGAAAGAACATGTGGCCAGCCAGGCTGGGGCAAGGGCTGCTGGGAGGCCATGCATGGTCAGGAGGGAGCACAGGAGGGGACCTGCAGCCAGCGATGCAGGGTAAGGCTGGCAGGGCTGGAAGTGGGGAGCATGCGGGGCCTGGCCGAGCTGCAGGAGTCTAGTGGTCTAGTCCTGGCGATGGCTGAGAGCCAGGTGGAGAGGGACCGACCAAGGTTGCTGGGACACAGGCAAAGAGGACAGCAGGACATTTAAAACCTGGCATCTGGCCCCACGGCTGCTACCCAGACTTGCAGATCCTCCCTGGAGTCACTGTCCTGCTGCTGCTTGGACATTTGCCTGGAAGGTGACAAACAGGGTGCTCTGGGGATGTCTCAAGAGGTTGAACCGTCCTGGGGAGTGGGGAAGGATTTCCAGCTGGGGTTCCTGTACCCTGGAGCCAAGCTTCCCGCCTCAGTGTCTGGCGTCATTGCCCCCTGTGGCCTCCAGAGCGCGCTGTCCAGCTGCTCTGCTGGCTGAGTGAGGCCCGGGAGGATGTGGAGGGACTTCCAGCTGACCAGCAGGCTCTGGGCTTTCTGCCTGAGGCAAACACGGAGCAAAGCTGGGATCCTCCTCAGGCCTCTTCCTGGTGCAGGCCCATTCCCAGCCAGCAGGGAATGGAAAAACCAGTTCCCCGGGTTCCACTGCCCCGTGGGGCTGGCAGGGCATCTCTGGCTGTCCAGGAGGGGCTGGCCTGGGTGGAGCAGCAGCCCAGGCCTCAGTTCAGGACAGCGGAGGGTGGGGCCCTCAGCACTGGCGGGAGGGGGTGCGGTGCACAGAGCCCGGGCGCTTGGGGATCTTGCGCCAGCGCCTCTTGTCCCAGCGGCAGAGCAGCAGTAGGCGGAAGGTGTCCCGGAAGGCTTTGTTGCACAGCGCATAGCACATGGGGTTGACGGTGCTGTTGACGTAGCACAGCCAGTAGCCCAGCTCCCACAGGGTCTCGGGGACGCAGTCCTTGCAGAAGGTGGACACCAGCACCATGATGTTGTATGGCGTCCAAGTGAGAATGAAGGCCAGGAGGATGGCGCTCAGGGTCCGGGCTGCCTTCTTCTCCTTGACCAGTGAGAAGGTCTTGCGCTTGGCCAGCTGCTCTTTCCCATGGGGCTTCTGGGCCCGGCTGGCTCGGTCACGCCCCTTCCTCGTGGGCCTCTTCACTGTGCTTGGGGAGCTCTTAGGGGGCGGTTTGGCAGGTGCCTGGGTCCGGGCGTCCACCATGGGCATCTTGATGGCCACCTCTGGGCCAGGCTCCTCGCCCTCTGAGGACGTGAGGGACTCCATGGAGCCCTCGTCGTCGTCCTCTTCCTCCTTCCAACTGTAGGCCTGCAGCAGCTGGGGTGCTCGGCAGCAGCGGCAGCAGTGGCCCGGTGGGGTCTCCGGGGAGCTCTCGGCCCCAGGCTGTGACCTCTCCGAGCTGCTGCTGCTGCCACCACCCTTGCCAGGCGTCTCAGAGCCCTGCAGCGCTGCCAGCTCCCGTGCCCGGTTCTCCGTCTCACGGTAGATGCGCCAGTAGAGTGTGCACATGACAGTGACCGGGAGGTAGAAGGCAGCCATGGCGGTGCCGAAGGTGATGATGGGCTGGGAGAGGAACTGGATGTAGCACTGCCCTGCCAGCACCGTCCGCTCCCCCACCAGGTACTGCCAGAAGAGGATGGCCGGTGCCCAGAGCACAAAGGAGACCAGCCAGGCCAGCCCGATCATCAGGGCTGCCCGGCGTGGTGTGCGTTTGGCACGGTAGCTCAGTGGCCGGGTCACTGAGAAGTAGCGGTCGAAGCTAATGAGCAGCAGGTTCATGACAGAGGCGTTGCTGGCCACATAGTCCAGGGCCAGCCAGAGGTCACAGGCCAGCGTACCCAACGCCCAGTGGCCCATGAGCAGATAGGTGGTGTAGAGGTTCATGGAGAAGGTGCCAATGATGAGATCAGCGCAGGCCAGGCTCAGCAGGAAGTAGTTGTTGACTGTCTTGAGCTCCGTGTTCACCTTGAAGGAGATGAGGACCAGGAGGTTGCCTGTCACAGTGGCCAGCGACAGGAGCCCCGTGGTGATGCCAATGAAGGCTACTTGCCAGGGTCCTTTTCCTGGGGCCAGGACGGTGATGTTGGGGCTGACAGCGGGCGGAGCCGAGGTGTTCATGGCGGCCTAATGGGCAGGGCAGCCTCGCTGCGCAGTCACACGGGGGGTGTCCTCACCTGGAACAGATGTGAGCTTCTGTTGGGGCTTGCATGGTGCTGCCGGCCAGGCGCACTCACACTCGAGGCCATTTACCGCGCACTCAGCCTGGCATGGCGGCACTGAGATCCCAGGCAAGTGTTGTTCCTTCCAGCTCCCCATGCAGATGCCAAGCCTATGTTCCCACTGGGAAATCGCCAGCCGTTCCAGGGGTGCCCAGCACACATGACCGAGTTGGGCAGTCTCCCTCTCACCCAGCCACCTTGATTTCAGAGCATTTCGCTCAGGCTCACCAAAGCTTCGTGACAGCTGTGGCTGCATCCAGACCTCTGCTAAGCACTCAGTCAAGTGACTGAGCTACCAAGTGTGTCGCCTAGAGGATGCCTCACTGTCCCCACCCCATCACAGGTGACCTTGGCTCTGGGCACTGTAGGGTGGCCACAGTGACACAGTGGAGAGTGGGAGTAGAGCTTGTGGGGCTCCATGGGGAGCCTGCCATCAAACAGGGAAATCTGGGAAGGAGGGAGGGTCTGGTGTGAGGAGGGGAGCCAGACAGGGAAGGGGTGAGTGTGTCCTCACTCAAGGGGTGGTGCTGGCTGGGCTGGGCTCTCAGCAGGCAGCATGAGTTTCAGGAGGGCCAGAGAACAGGCAGGGGCCCAGGCCTCAGCTCCCAGGAAGTGGGGTGTGGCCCCAGATGGGATGTGGGCCCACAAGTGGGCGCAGCAGGGAACAGGCAGATGCCCCAGACATCCCTGGGACCTGGAGTGTGTGTGGTCCAGGCATTGAGTGGGGTGGCAGCTGTGGGTGGACAGGCGCCCATACCAAGGCCGCCCTCCTGGGGGTGCACCGGGGTCAGCTCCGGTGACTCGACTAAGTCCTTACTCCGGGCCACAGTGGAGGAAAGGGGCCCAGCTGGCTGTGGCCCTGCTGTGTGATGCAGAGGGCCCTCCCTGCTCTGGGTCTTAGGCACTGTCTGTCCACTCCTGAGACTGTGACCCCAAGGGAGCGACGTTGGGCCAGGGCGGCCCAGCCCCCGGGGTTCAGGGGACTGGCCTGTGACCTGTGCCTCTGTGGGGTGCAGGTGGTGGTGTACCACTGGACTATGTGTGGCCAAGGGCATGTGAGCAGCTCTTCCTACCTGGGGACCTGTGCCTAAGAAAGAGGACAGGGCTGTGGCTGCCAGTGTGGCCTGGGTGTCTAGGGAGGTTTGCACACAGGGGTGGACTGTCTGGGTTGGAATCTAGGCTTCACCAGTTACCGGGAAAAGATGCTCGCAAGTGATGTGTGGCTTTTTGTGCCTCAGTTTCCTCAACTGAAAAATGGGGATAAAACGCACCAGTGCACTAACACCACAGGGACGTGTGGGGGTCAGAGTGCTCGGACATCCCGGGCCCTGGGAGGCAGGAGCTCCACACTGACCCTGGCTGATGTGACCGCAAGGGCACCTCCCACCGGCAGCATCCACTGCTTGATTACAAATCTCGGACTCAATGGTGGCTACTGCTGCTACTTCTACTAATGCTGCAGGGGACAGCGCATGGTGCCTATTCAATCTTCACAGCAACCATGATACCGGGGCCTCACTCTCCATTTTACAGATGGAGGCCGAGGCTGAGAAGGCATGAAGATTCACAGATCACACAAGGAAGGCAGTTGTAAGGACCATAGCCTGAGCAGTTTGTCTCAATGAAACTTCCTTTAGAAAAACTGATTATCCTGTGGACTGTCTTTAACCAATGTGAATTTAAGATTATTGCATTAAAATATGATTTATTTTGCTGGGTGTGGTGGTACATGCTTGTAATCTCAGTTACTCAAGAGGCTGAGGCAGTAGGATTGCAATTAGGAAACCAGCCTGGGCAAGCCGGGAGGGCCCTGTCTCAAAATAAAATTGAAAAAGGGCCGAGTATGTAGCTCAGGGGTAAGTACTTAACTAGCACATGCGAGGCCCAGGTTTGACCCCCCCCCCAGTACTGCAAAAAGCAAAAATAGTTTTGATTATGATTTGTTTTTTGTTTTTTTGAGACAGCGTCTCACTATGTAGTGGAGACTGCCCTGGAACTCATTATGTAGCCCAGGCTGGTCTCGAACTCACAGCGATCCTCCTGCCTCAGCCTCCCGAGTGCTGGGATTACAGGCGCCGCCACACCCGGCTCTTGATTATGAATTTTTGATGCACCCTTTTTAACCTAGAGTTAGGAATCAGGAAGGGGCTGGGAGCAGGTGGGGCTTTCCCCACTCCCGGACCTGCAGCCTTCTGAACTTAGCACTGTGTGATGCCCACTGCCCAGAGGAAAGGGTGGAAGGCACCTCCAGCCTAAGCTGGGCTTCTTCCCCACACAGGCAAGGACACATGCCTCGGGGGCGCCTAAGACCCAAGAAAACAACATTTTAATATAATACTTTAAAAAAGAAAATTTAGTGCAAAGAATCCACGATGAAGAAAATGTCAACTGACAGAAGATGTAGCCCCACAGGAAGCCCTGTCTCACCTGTCTGTCCTACCCTGGTCAGAAACAGGGTGTGGGAGGGCACGGTGGAGGGCTGGGAACTCCCCTGCAAACCCCCACTGGCTTGAGCCCTCACCTAATCATGTGGCCTTGGGCAAGGTGCTGTCCTGCCCTGGGAGCCCTTCTGTGGCCAGGAGCACGTGGAAAGTGTGTGGATCCCAGATGAGCCGGACCCAGGGTCAGGGGTGAGGGCAATGGTGCACAAGGAGGTGCTTTCTGCCCAGGCCTGGGCCTCGCAGGGAAGGCTGTGGACCCTTTAATGATATTACTAATATCAGCACAGCAACTGGTATTCACTGCCTGCTAGGACCTCCCAGACAGCTGAGCGCATCACGCATATGATGTGATTTAGCTGCTCCCACCCCTCAGGAAAGAGGTTTTGTTATCCTGTTTGCAAAAGGGGCTGCAAGGTTGCTCAGGGGTGCAGCCAAGGTTGCAACTTGGTCTGAGTTTGGGTTGGTGTCCACACTGCTCTGTGCACTAGCTAGCCTCCTGTTGTCCCTGCCGGCAGGGCCAAACTTCAGTTTGCATCAATAAGCAGCCAGGACTCTGTCCTCTGCTCCAAACCAGCCTGGGTGTGACAGTCTGCATCTCTGTGACAAGGAGAACAATGTGGGGGTGGGAGGTGGAGCCAGCACAAGGTGGGGCTCTGACCACCCCACTGCTCTCCCAGGGCCCAGCACACAGTAACTGCTCAGTAAATGTTTGTGAGAGAAATACACCTATGGCATGGATCTGCATCCTCCTGGGTGCAGGTTCAAGAACAGGAGGAGGGGCTCTGACCAAGGAACGGCCCCTCTTCCACCTGCTCCGGGCTGCACCTCTGCTCCCTGGCTGAGACCCTGCCTGGCTCATCTATAGAATGGACCAAGGAAATCCTGCCTGCTGGCTGTAGGGAAACCATGGGAGTGCACGTGTGTGTGCATGTGTGTGCAAGTGTGTGCGCGCACACGCGAGCATCGGCCCGAACACAAAGGGTTAAGGAATGAGGTCAGAGCCTTTTACTGTCCACCAACCAACTGACCAGGCCAGCCCTGGACCGTCCCCGTCCCCTGGGGCTGGGTATCTGGCTGCAGAGGAGGGGAGGCAATACAGAGCCAAGGGCAGATTCCTGAGCATTGCCCGTCGGGAGGGTGGAGAGGAGAGTGCAGCCATCTTGTTGCCACAGCCTGTAGAGAGATCTGGCTGGGGCAGGGACCTCCAGGGTACGGTGGTCCTCGGAGGGCTGGCAGGTAGCAAGGGGGCCCTCCTCAGGCAGGGTTCCCCGTCTGGTAGCTTCTGCCAGGGCTTAGCCATAGGCCAGCCTCTCCCACGGAAGATGCCCTCAATGTTGCTCCTGACATCTGGTCTCAAAATGAGGGAGTAAATGGTGGAACTGGCCACATTTACAGCACAGGTCACCCACTCTGTGATGCTGGGCAGCAGCCCTCAGTTAAATGTTGCACAGACGGACGAGTGGGAGAGGACATCACTCCAGAGCCAATGCCAAATGAGCTCGCCAAGGCCAGCAGGCTGGGCCTGGATACCCTCTACATCGCAGTGGGCCTCAGGGGTGCCAGGTCCTCTGCCGCCCCCACCGCTCCTGCTCTCCTTTCTGCTCTCTTCCCTCCTCCCCCTCCATCACCATGGCACCACCACACAGCACCCAGCACCTCACCCACTCTGCAGCGCCTGCTGCCTGGAGCCCTTGCTGCTGCCTCCCAGCAAGGTGTCCCCACCCTACTGTCCTGCTTCCGGAGGGAGGGCAGGCAGGAGAGGAACTAACAAGGATCCCCTCGGTCTCCTTCCTGTGGCTGGGGCCATGCCTCCCTCAGCCTCAATTTCTCCATCTGTGCAATGGGCAGTTCCTTCCTAGATCTGCTGCGATTGGCCTGGCCCCCTCTTGACTCCCGGGCTGTCCCTTTGCCCTTCTGATCCAGTCCCCAGCTCTCACTGGGCAGGGAACAGATACAGCCCAGTGGGAGGCCGACCTCTGGAGGCAGGGGGCTGCCTGACTCCTTCCCCAGCTGCACAGGGTCAGGGTGGTGGGTGGAGGTGCAGGGGTGTTTTGGGGGAGAGGCGATTCCCCCATGGCACCAGTAATTTAGCACCCACAAGGTCTGACTACTCTCTCCCACTGCCTGCCAAGGGGCAGGTGACACTGCAGAAACCCCACACAGTGGTGTCCTGGGCCAGGTGCCTGGGCCAGGTGCCCATTGGTATCCAGGTGTTGCCTGGACCCAGGCCTGAACCTCCCCCGTGGGCACCAAAGGTACTGGAAACACAGGGCGGCCCCCACCAGGGCCACCTTCCCCAGCCAGTGTGGCCATCCAAGTGCTCAGCTGTCCCAGTGAGCCTGGACTCTGCCCAACACCCACCTTGTCCTCCAGCTTGTCCACAAGGCCAGCAGCCTGGGTCAGTCCATCTTGGGGGGGGGCTGATGGTGTGGGGGGTGCCCTGAGGGAGGAGAGGAGAAGATTCTGGGACTGTTGCCTGAGTAAGGGGAGCCGGCTCTCCGTGGACACTGGTGGGTGGGCTGCATCTCGGCCCCTGCCTACACTCATCACCAGGCACAGGGCAGCCTCCTCCCTCCTGGGCTGGGACTAGTTACCCCGAGTGGGGGGTCTCCACCTCCACTACTGGCCAGAGCCCAGAGAAACATCAGAGGTGCCAACTCAAAGCCAGGGTGTTGGGGGCAGCCAGGGTCCAGCGTCCCTAGCTGCCGACCTGCAGACCCCGGGCTTCCTCCTTTCCCAGGGCCACCCTACTCACCTCACCCTGGCCCTGCCCTGGCTCAGGACGCTGCTCCTACCCGCCTGGCCAGCGCCTCCCGCCTCCACTCACCATGGGGACACAGGGGTCTGCAGGGT